CTCAGGTGACCTATTGCTATCTGTTTTCGTCCATTGTCATCCATCGTGCGTCGTGTAAATATTTAAACATTTTCAAATGTAAATTTTATTATATTAGAAATATCGCCATTTGATATATAATATCCAATTCTTCATTTTAAAATGCACGTCGATCCAATGTGTTGCATGTGAAGCTCTGACTACCAAAATACAACTGATGTGCAATTTCCCAACACTTAGAAAATTTGGATTCTGTGTAAAAACCCTTATTACTCTTTTCAACAACTTGATTATACTGTTCATGTGATTTGAAATATAAACAGTTAATGATATTTCATAATGAACAATAAATATAAATCTATTTTGGGAAATTGTTGGAATTATTGTTTATTCATTTGGGGGTGGGGTGGGAGAGTAATTATAATTTCTAACATAAATGCACATTTTAATTCTGTTTTGTCAACCCACTTACCAGCCCAATGTTTGAAAAAAGTCTTGAAAAATAATCAATATAAAAAGTTCTTGCAATGACAGCTAGGACCTCTACTTTATACATTTCAGTTTTACCACAATTCATTATACAAAGTTGTAACCGTTAGATGGGTTTTATTACATCATTCAACTGTAATTTAAAAAAAAAATGTTTTCAGATCTTTTGCTTTTAATTACACTGTAACTTCCATCTACAAAAGGGACTCTTTCAATGCACTTTTTGGTAAAGATCACAACGTAAACAACTGGTAAACTGTTAAAAAGGGTCTACTTTCCCAGTAGCAAAAGCAACCTTATAACATGTATGTCATAAAAATATTGTATCAGGGACGCATACTAGTATATACCTCCCTGATTGATTTGTATCAATTAATTTTTTTTCTAAAAAATAATAACAATCACAGTTTATTCACGTAATTCAATAAAGTGACATTCGATTATCGAAGATAGAAGAAAAGGTCAAGATCTAGTGAATGAAAGGTGCCCACAGATTTCTCAAATTTGAGATACACATTCTTTTAATGATCCTTTACGAATATAGCTTGGTAAAATAAGGTGTATCCGGACATAATTTGTTGTAAACTCATTGGAATAACATATTATAAACTGCCCATTTTCAATGAAAAATGAAGAAAGTCTGGTATAAATATGGGAGTTTTTTCCATCTCAGACAAAGGAAATGTATCAATATTGCCTACAGTCTCTCAGAAAACGTATTTTCATATCTTCTTGATCTCTACTTTAAAATGATATTAAACGGAATAAGGGTTTCGGAGTTATATTTGACATGATTTCAAATTAAATTCCATGAAAGTGCTTTATTTTCTACATAATTCTATTGAAGCCGTAAAGTACGGGAAAAATTAAGTTTAAATCAATTATGACGTCATAATGAATCTAGCACCAAGAAGAAAGTCTAAACTCATTTACTAGATCTTGACCTTAAGCAATACCAAAACAATACCATAATAACTATGGGCAGTTCTGGTTGTTAGTATATGACCTTGTGTCATCACTAGCTGCATAGACTATCATGATCTCTATACTGTTGATTACCTGTGTATTGTGTGTGCTTAAGAGGAAAGGGTTTTCTCCTAACCTGGTGACTGTATATTTCACCTCTTTGTGTAAAACAATGGGCTTGGATAGAGTTTCATTTATAAAATATAATTGTTAAAATGACACTTTTAAAAAATTGTTTTTTGATTGGGGGGGGGGGGGGGGGTCCTGAACCCCAAGCCCCCTTAATCTGCCACTGAAGATCTTCTCCTCTGCTCCTGGGTATTATGCTGATGATTTAAGTATATAGTTATTATGAGGAAGGATGCGTCTTTCAAAATTATGAATTTTAAGGCCCCTGGGTCAGGGTTAGCAGAGGGGGGGGGGGACTCTAATGATTATATACTGAAAATGAATTAATGCTTTGAAATCTGCTCCTTGGTATTAATCAAACATTTATGATGAGCAAGGGTGCCTTTTCCAAAATTGTGAAATGTGTGGCCCCAGGGCCAGGGGTTCTTGTGGGATGGGGGCACTACTGATTATTGCTAATTATTACTGATTAATGGAAATGTTTTTTTTTTCTTTCTACTCTGCCTCTGGGTATTAAGTTATCAAACTTAAAGCATACTATGTGTATATAGTTATGATGAGCAATGGTGTATCTTTCAAAATTGTGAATTTCATGGTCCCTGGTTTAAAAGACCAACCAATTGAGTTGTTGGAAAGTTGTTACATGATACTCAGGTGACCTATAAGGCCAGTGAGCCTCTTGTTTACATTTTAAAATTCTTCTCCAGAACCACTTGGCACAATTCACTTACACCTGCCACTATTATTAAAAGCATTCTTGGGTGTAGGGGTACATTCAGATACATTCAGATAAAATGAAGGGCCAAACCATTTTTCAAGGGAAGCTAATCAAGAAATATTGAATACTGTGGCATATCTTAAATTCTAATGAGGAGCCACACCAGAAATGACATAATTCTATAAAAATTGTTAAAAGAACAGCAGGGTCATGATTAGTTACATGTTAATAAGTTATATATTAATATGGAAGCATACTCAGGTAGTGCAGTTTCAAAGAACAAGGTTCACTTAGGGCCTTTTTTGGCCCTGTGAATTTCTAAAAAATCAAAGTTTTAGTTGAGAATACATTAAATTTCACTTGGACCCTTAGTGACTGCATACATGTATCTATTAAAAATGACATAATCTTCTTATTTGTTTATGTATTATGACGTCATGAATTGCGTCATTATCCCTGAATCCTGAACATTTCTTCAAAAATGGCCAAAATTTTTAGCTGTTCTTCAACATTTTGTATAGACCCCAACCTCTGATATAAAATGTTGAATTATACATGTTATATAATGAAAATACAGTTTCAGAAGATTTTAATCCATATGTTTTATTTTTTGTAATGCGGGATGGGCTCATATTTTAATTCTTAACTGAAGGTGCTGAAATACACCCATTTTCTTCAAAATTCAAGAACAAAACACTTTCTTAAAGTCTGTTTTTCAATACCTGGACTTCGAGGAGAAACTTTTTTATAGGAAATAAAAGCACCAAGTCTCTACTTTATAATGATGTTTGAAATGGGACATAATTGGGACTTGGTCAGTTAATTGATATATGGACAGGGCCATTTATAGAGATACATGCAGTGAACCCAGCTCTTTATGGCCAAAGTTTTATTGGGAATATGTTTGAAATGAATAAAAGCTTTTAGGAGTAGCAGGAAAAACTAAATTATGGCAATTAATAAATATGCAAACATATCAAAATTCTGTGGATTCAAGTTTTAATGAACCTTGGGTAAGAGTGGGGCCTTAATTGGGGATCATATTTTACAAAATTCATACAGAAAAGAAAATCTTTTAAAAATCTTTTCAGAAAAGCAAAGTCATTTTAAGTCATATTGATAATAAAGCATCCCCATGTTGTATGTATTTAAGTTCAGCTATGAAGTGACTTCTAGGATGGGGCCTCATTATAGGGTCAAAATTTTCATGGAAAGAAAGAGTGAAATAAATACCTTCTGAAATATTGTTTGAAAGAACAGCAGGGCCATGTTGTTTCAGATGTGCATTTTCACCCATGGGCCTCTTGTTTGATAAAATTTTCAACTTTTACACTTGTTCTAAGACAAACAAGGGCACTGCAAAGCAGAGCATCCCCTCGCAAAGAGCAGATCTAAAAATCAAAGTAGCATTTGACATCAATCCTGATGCAAATTAAAAAAAACCCTTCTATTTTGCACACAGGACAAACTAACCCCCCCCCCCCCCCAACACACAAGTGCATTACTATACCCCCACCAACTCCATTGTGAAGGGATAACTCAGTGCCTGGGAAGGTCAAGCAACAGGTGGGGCCAATGGCCCCACTGTTCATAAAATGATGGGGCCATTTTGAAATTTAAGGGGCCAAGGGGAAATATATTAGGGCTGTTCTAAAATAAATCATAGTATGATGCTATAGGATAATGCATATATCTCTGACAACAAAATTTAGGAAAATTAAAAAGAAAAGTGCGATAGGAATTGACAAGTCATATGACATTGCATGACTAGTGTGCAAATGATTTTTCCGTTTCTAAGAACTTCAGTCATGCAATCGTCATCTAGATTCTAACCAACTAGTATTTAGAAAAATTATATTTAAACCAAAAGCACCATTTTTCAACGATGCCGATTTAGAGATCACGGGACAGGCTAAAATAAGTGGACTTCATTGAAAAGGTTTTTCATTGTAAGGTATATAAATTTTCCATGTGTGTGACTTTCGTAAAGCTGTGGTCAACCATCGAAAACGACTTGACACTTATGAATTGAACGACATGAAAAAAAAACTGTTTCTTTGCCAGTGGATGTCAATATGCTGAATGATGGTTCGGATTTTATTATATAATACATTACAGATTCCATCTAACCTCAATGAAGAATACAGATAGTGCGGACTGCGATGAACTTACAAAGTAATAAAACATGCATACTCGCATTTTGCGGGGCGCGCCGCAAGGCGCTGCGCACTATTATTTCATTGCGCCATTTTTCGACAGTATGCGCCAGGCCCTGATAACTAACTGACAAATGAACAATATTGGATTGATTGATTATTTGTTGTTAATGATATTGGATGTTGGTCAGTTTCAGTATGATACAAAATTAATATTGATGCATGTCAATATACATGTATCAGTACATGTATGATAATCAGTGCATTTATATTAATTCTACTTAATTTTGATTAAGTTATGTCCTCCTGTCCATATAATGGGTAGGACCACAGTAAGAATTAGAATTTACATAGGAAACTTTCTTAATCATATATGCATACCCCCCCCCCCCCTTCCCCAAAAATGTGATTTGTATGAACATGATATCAGTTAGTTTACTGTAGTTTAATATTTTGGATTTAAACTTTAAGTTTGGGGAAAAAGTAAAGGTGTTAATTCACACATTTTTGTCAGGAAGGGAAATCCGACTCAATATTAATCATGCTAACACATTTTTTAACAGGGTTGTGCTAAATTGTCATTATTTGATAAGAACACAACACAGTTTGTCATTGAAAAGGTATGTATATGCATGATGTTCTTTAAAAATGTTTTAACTAGCTCTTTTAAAGTTAGTATAATCTGTCCAATATTTATTGTTGTTAATATGGTCCACCTTGTTTTATCCAACTTATTGATCATTGTACATGTATATTACAAGTAAATTGAACAAGTGATAGTCACTTTATTTCATGCAAACTTAAAGTTTGTTGTTATACTGATTCTTGTTGACAGCACCATAACTTTGAAATGGAGAATCAAGGAAGCTCACACTTGGTACAAAGATTGTTTAGATCCAAATTTGAATGGGCACTTTTTATGCCTCTCCTCCAAAAAGGGAGGGAATATTGCTTTGCTGCTGTCTGTCGGCCAGTCTGTCTGTCTGCTGGTCCACCAACAGTGCATTTTCTTTGCAGAGGTTGCACATACTGAAATGAAATTAACGGTATACAGGTTTTAACATAAGAATATCTAGGTCAGGTTCTGTTTTGGGTATGATCGAGCAATTAATTTTTGACAGAGTTATGCCCCTTGGACTTAGAAAAATTTCCAATTAGTTGCAGTTTCCATTCATTTTCTTTATTTGCAGGTTGCACATACTGAAATGAAATTCAGTATACAGATTTATCATAAGAATATCTAGGCCAAGTTCTGTTTTTGGGTACAATCGAGCAATTTTGACAGCAGAGGTTGCACATACTGAAATAAAATTTCACTATTTGGTATACAGATTTATCGTAAGAATATCTAGGTCAAGTTCTGCTCTGTTCTGGGGGGGGGGGGGGGGAAGGAGGGGGGCATAAGTGTTTCACAAACATCTCTTGTTAAAAAAAATGCAGCAGGGATAACATTTTGTGAGCTCGTTAAAAGTACCTCTAATAATTTTTTTTACAACTTGCTATAGAATGTTTAAGTTTGTATACATACCACTTGAACTTGTGCATAGTATTTTCAGATTGAGTAAAAAAATATTAAGAATTTCATTTTTCAAAAGGCTCACATTTTATAGAAAGGTAGCTTGTATCCAGAGATGTACCTGTACATGTATCTTGACCCTGTGGCAAGGTCATTATATGCAAGATCAAGGTCATAGGTTTGAAAAGTATGAAATCATTGTTTGGTCAACAGCCTTAAAATGAAGAAACACATTAGAAGGCTGCTACTGGAGACAAGGATTGTTTGTGACTCAAGGGTTTGTCCTGATCTTAGATCAGGGTAATTTTAGAGCTTTGCACTACTTTTCTATTACAGAAATTTCGTATCATTCCAAATTTTTATTTCAAAATAAGCATTTCACACCCAAAAATTAAGCTTCCTGGTTTTTGTTTTTTGTGAGCTAGGGTTCACAGTGAATACCTCAAAGCAGAAACATAGATAACAGATTTTGGCAACTCTACCTTTAACATGTTTATTTGCTAAAATATGTGATGGTCCCAGAATTTACTTTTTTTTTTATTGTTTGTGTATTTTGATCTAAACTTAAATTTTATAGCTTTACAATTATTTTATTAAAGTCTTAAAACAATTTTTTCTACGTATATGGAAAATAGCTTTAAAAACAAAAATCATATACATCAAAAGTTATCACATATGCATAGCATATTAAACAGGTTGGGACCAATCGCCCAAATGGGATATAATAGCCTGTTTGGGATATAATATCCCGAAGAGGATATAAATGTACAGTGCAAAAAATGAAAATTTTTATTTTGGCTATAAATATATCATAAATCCGCATCAACATACTTATAAAGGAATAAGGTTTGGTTTTCAAGTTTTTCTGTATGCCCACTGTTTATGAGATTGATCCCTCGGTAGTTCCTAAACTTCTTGGGGGATCAATCTAACAAACTGTAGGGTTGCAGAAAAACTTCTATGCCAAAAGTTAATCCTTTTTAAGAATTCTGATGTGGATTTATGATATTTATAGCCAAAATGAAAATTTTCATTTTTTGCACTGTGAATGTATATCCCATTTGGGATATTATATCGCAAACTGGCTATTATATCCCATTAAGGCGATTGGTCCCAACCTGTTAAAGCCATTTGTAGACTATGGACAAAAAGCTTAAAAACAATAAAGATGCACGCTAACTCTCAATTCCCGCATACATTTTACACCCATTAAATTCAATACTAATGGCAATTTGGCCATAAAATCTTTATTGAATGCAAAGAAGAGTTCAATGGTAATTGATTAATAATTTTAATACCTGTGTTAAATAGTTAATTACTCTTAATTCCAGCTCTTTTTATAAGGAGGGGGGGGGGGGGTAGATGATGTTTTCCATTGATATCGGGCTTGAAAGCATCAGCATGTTTTAAAATATTTTTGGATATGGATAAATGTTCCTTAAATCTTTTCGTATGTTTTACGCATATAATATTAAACATATGTTATTGATAAAATACAATGTTTAAGTTGTAAACCCCTTCGAAATTGGAGGAAAAAAAATAAGAATTTTTTACGTTTTTTGTCTGTAAACATGTCCACCCCCCTTCCGTGAAGCACAAAAAGCTTTGGTTTGAATTTGTGAAATAACAATCTTTATTTGGGGGGGGGGGGGTGTTTAAAATTTTTTTTTTCATTTTCAGTTGATTTCTACTGTGAAAAACACAAGTTTTACCAAAATTAGAGATTTATCTCTCTTTGTTTTCCCAAATTAGTAATGTTTTATGAAAATTTATATAAATATCTATATAAATATGAAATTCATTCAAATATGTTAACTTTTGAAAAATTGACTTGGAGGTAGGCAGGAGAACAATACTATATATCGTTCGCAGTTCTTATACATTGACTCTTATCTATAAGTACAGGGAAACTTAAGAAAGCTTGCTACAAATATAGGGGCTTATATATATAGGAAATATTTCTACAAAAAGCTGCAGGATCTTGCTAAGCTGATAATAAGTCTCATTATTTTACAGACATGGAAAATAAATGGAGCAGAGTTATTTATAAAAGAGCTACCAGGATTCAACAAAAAATATTTTGACTGGAAATCGGAAATGTCACATGCTAAAACAAAAAGGAGTGAAAATACTGAGCATACCAAACCAGGGACTGATATGCCTTACCAGGCATATAAGAGGAAAGCAAGTTCATTCTGGAAGGACATTCCTCATCAAGAAGCTAAAATACGGAAAAAAATACCTAGAGGCAAATTTCATTTGTCAAAACTTAAAATCAAATGTCTAAAAAATAACTCTGTGCTAAGCATAAAAGGAAGCAACAAACACCCAAAGAAAAAACAGAGGAAATTATCAAAAGATGTTTCTGAGAAAAACCTTGATAAATATAGTTCAATTACATTGGTAAGAATTTTGCTTTTCAGTTGCAAATATTGAGAGAATGTGTTTATTCATATTTGTCGTGTTTCAAATAAGCAGATTATCATTGTGATGTGAATTAAAGTTGACCATGCATGTTTTATCAAGGAAGTTCATCAGTTAATCAAATGGGGAGTGTAAAAACAGTATACATGTTCATGTATAATTATATATTTACATGCAAAAGAAACTCAACAAATAGCTTACAATAAATGTTTGAATATTTTTATATCGTGATATTTTAAACTTAAACACAGATTTTTACAGTAAGAGATAACTTGATTAAAAAAAAACCAAACAGTTGAACATTAACACATTACTTCAGAAAGTAACTGATAACTATTCACTCCCCCCCCCCCCCCCCCCCCCTTCACAATTCAATAGCGATTATTTGAGACATATACAGCAGGTGCAGCTGGGATTCTACGATGTATTGAGTTTTTCAATCTTGACTTGAGTGAGAAATATTCTGTCAGTCTTTTTGATGAGGATGTTTCTCAGATGCTGTAGTTGAATTACTCAATTCTATGCAGAGGAGTAACCCTTGGTGTTCTGGTCCGTGGACTTTTTGTCTAGATCCAGAGAGACGTTCTCATAAGTAGAGATGGTATTTAAGTAAATATTTGCACCTGCAACACTTTTTAACCTTATTTTGAAAATTCCCCACCAGAAATTGGAAATATTTTTTTGACAATGTTGTTATACATATGAAGAAGCTAACTCTTGTAAACCCAAATCATAGCCAAATTTTTTGTTAAACCTGCAGTTTAAGGATTCTGTTAAACACATGTTAAATCAGGACAGAACTTTTGTCCTGAAACAACATGAAAATCAGTCAACTGACAATTTTTGACTACATAAAGTTGAATTGTACTAACTAACAGTACAAAGTTTTACTTTATTTGTGATTTTATTCCCTGAAAAATAGCATGCTGCGTTTCTTTTGCATGTCAGTTTTTAACTATAAACTGGCAAAGAGTGCTCCTGATAAATTTAACAACAATTTAATACATTGTCAGAATGCTGAAACTGAACATATTTAAATTATTTAATCAAGATTTGATGAAATACTGACACACATTATTGAAATTTTCTTAAATGTTTAAAGGAAAAGTTCATTGGATATCTGGACAAAGTGAAGAGAGAAGTGTTTTCAACAGGACCAGAAATACACACTCGTGTTCAGGTATTTAGATCATACCTCAGTCTGTCCATCTGTCAGTCTGTCACAAAAACGTAAACCCTTGTCATAACTTTTGAATGTTTAAATGAGCGCAAAGATAGGGCTTTCATTTGCTTTAAGAAGGTAATATTAATTTTGAACTTGTGACCTTGACCTTAAAAGTTTGATCTAATTTTCAAAATTTTACATTGGTTATAACTTTTGAATGAGAGTAGATAGGATTTCATATTTTTAATGTACATTACCTGTGACAACACCTTTCATGGAATACTATCATTTTTTACCTCATGGCCTTAAAGTTTTATCTTCTTTTAATTAGCTTTTGCACCTCAAGAGATATGGCTTTCATATTTTTACAAGTTTAATACCTGTGACAAGACCCTTCCCAATATATGATGATTTGACCTCATGACATTGACCATGAAGTGTGACCTATTTGGCTGTAACTTTTTAACCTAAAGAGACAAGGTTATCAAATTTTTAGGTCACCTGAGTCATTCAGATGACCTATTGCTATATGTTTTCATCGGTCGTCGTGCGATTTGCATTAACATTTTCACCTTCTCCTCTGAAACCGTTCAACCAAGTTTGTAGCCCGTGTGGTACAGTAGTTAGAGTGTTTGCTCTAGAGTTGCAGAGAAAGGAGTTGATCCTTACGTCGCATGGTCAAATCCCATTGTTGGACATGGAGACCGATCCTTCAGTTGAGACTGGATACCGGTAAACAGAGGTCCTGTGTCGCAGCATTGTTGGATACCCACTGGTGATCTCGTCTTTTACTAATCACCCATTGGCAAACTCGCTGAAATATCATCATAACTTAATTAATATGCACGGGTCATTTGATTGGCTGCTTCACAGAATCGCGTTAGCAAATCATGAATCACAATTTACGTTACGTACGTATGTTGTTGCCCGCGTGGCAAAGTGGTTAGAGCATCTGCTCTAGAGTGGGGAAGTAAGGAGTTTATCCTTACGTCGCGGGTTCGAATCCCACTGTGGGACGTGGAGACCGGTCCTACGGATGAGACTGTATAAACCGAGGTCCCATGACGCAGTAGGTGCTGGCACGAAAACGATCCCTCACTGCTCAATGGCCGTAAGTGCCGAGTATAGGACAAAATTTGCAGCTCTCCACCGGCAAGTGGTGGTGTCTCCATATGAGTGAAAAATTCTCGAGAGGGACGTTAAACAACATACAAAAAAAAACCAAAATGTATGTATGTTCAGCAGTGACAAATGCTTTTCCCTTGTTAACATACCAATTGTAAACAAATGCACTCACCGATGAGTTAAGCAGCTTTTTAGCGGTTTGAGAAATACTCGGTATAGGTTCTTGTGTTAGGACTGAGATCTATTGATAATATAGTGAAAATGCATAAATTCTTTGAAAAACCTCTCTCCCCCTGTATATAAATAAGATAAACTAGGTGCATGGGTATGATGATCAAGGGCGCCTCTTCCAAAATTGTGAAATTTGTGGCCCAAGGGTGAGTGGTTCTGCAGGAGGGGGGAAATAAGTATTAAGAATTTAGTAGTAAAATTAATCCCCTGGGATTAATTATCTTGCCTGGTGCAGAAAATTTTGGACACTAATTTTTATTTGTCACTTTAAGATAAATTAACACCTTTGTCTGCAACTGATGTTTGTTTTGAAGTTCATGTTAAGCTTAGGTGATATTTGCATTCACTGAAGGCTGGCATTTTATAGAACACATACTTTATTCTTGTTTAAATATACATTTAATTGAGTTATTATAGATATGATTTTTTTACTGCCTTATGTAAATACAAGGATGCTATTTACAGGTTGTTGGATATTACGGAACTTGAAATTTTATAAATACAGTTGTAGTTGCATATTCTTTATATATTTTTAATTTTTTGCATGTAATCAAGTAAAATTCTCATTCTGTAAGCTGCACTCTTATATTTCTACCCCTCGGCGGGGCCCTTGCTGACTTGTCAGTTTTCTGGTTACATTCGTGTGTATTTAAAAAACGTTGGATACAAAATCTGAAATTACTTGTCCATCATTTACATTGTGCGTTTGAGAATCGCTTAGATGAACTAAAATGAACTTTGAACAATAATTTTGATCCAGTGTTTTCTCAAACGCCTGCGTTGAATTCTACCCACCTATTTCGTTGTGATATTTTCCATAATAAGCATTTCTTTGAAGCACGCTTCTTCCTGTGTGTGTCACTATTACTAGCATATATAAATATGTTTACTTGCATACAATAATACATGAATGGAGAATAGAACAGAAGACCTCTCGTTTCTCGCAACGAGTTTCTAGTTGCAATCTTTTTTTTTTTCAATGTAATAAAAAACAATTTAATTATTAGGATTGATGTTTTATTAGGCTGCAACTTAGTTTCATTCATTAAAAAATATAATAAGCAATTACATTTGCACTCTAAATGTTTAAGCAAATTGTAAACACCTCTTAAATTCAGAAAACATTAGTGATTTGGCACCTTCTCTGAAAAACCCAGCCGGGGAGGGAGGGGGGAGGGGGTAGGAGGGGGTATTTTTCCCTTTTGGACAGTTCTAGTTTTTAAGTCTTCTTTACCCCTTGGTAATTAACAGAAAAAACTAATTGCGTGGTTATGACGAGCAAGGTTATCTTTTTTAAAAGTTTGAAATTCATAATGATGTTTTGGTGAGACTCTTTTGAATATGTAGTAGAAATGCATTATTTCTTTGAAAATCTTCTCTGCCCATTGTTATTTAGGAAACCTACTAAGTGCATTGTTATGGTGAGCAAGATTACTTCTTGGATGGATCAGGGGCTTTGGTAATAGCTATAGGGTGTGGCTATATTGAATCTATAGTGTAAATGGATTATTTCCTTGAAAATCTTCTTGTCTGCTATTGGGCATCTAGGAGGCAAATAGAGTATGTGAAAGTGAAATAAGCAAGGGTGCTTTTACCAGATTTTGAAAATCTGTACCCTTTGGTCAGTTTATAAATTTCTACTGAGAGAAAGTTATTCTACTTTGCTATCCACCTGTAATAGTTAATCACTGTAAATAATGTAACTTTAATGGACATTTGAATTACAGAATTTTACAAGAATTTTTATAATATTTCATACAAAAGTACTTTCATAGTTTTTTAATAGTCAGATAAACTTTTAAATAATAGATATATAAAAATGGGACAAAAATACTGTATCTTTGTACAATAGATAATCTTCAAAGACTAAGAGAGGCCAATGTGAGGGGGAATGAAATGTGTTAACTAATAGTGCTCTAGAACTATTGTTTTGTTTAGTCCGCTTTAGGATAGTGATAAATGGGGGAAAGTATAGGCAAATAAATAGATCAACTTTAAGATTTGTTACTGAGTACTAAATTAATATTTTGCAGATCCCTGATCATCCTATTTCTCTTGCTTTTCGGCAACATAGCTTTTATATTATTTATCAGCTTATTTTGTTTTAATGTAGGGATCGTTACATTATACTCAGGTGACCGTTAAGGCTCTAAGGCCTGTTGTCTCAATTATGGGAATAAAAAAAGCTCTAAAAGCAATGCATGTTCAAAGTGCAACTCTAAAATTACGGTGGTCTCATTAGACACCTCTTCCAACATTAACTTATCAGAAATTACATGTAGGTGCAACAAAACTAACTATAGTCTGTATTAGGTAATTTCCACTTTAACACTCAAAAGTTTCTGTTTGTCTTCACAGGACATGGAACATTCAGGTGAAAATGAGTGTCATATAAGGAGCGTAGGAAGTAGAGAAGAATCCAAGAGGACCTCCTCACATTTAACTGAAGAAAAATGTAATGATATTGCCCATTCTCAAAGAATCCCAGTCTGTCTTCTCTATAGAGAAAAAAATACTGTTGTTAAGTTCGATTCACATTCAAACTCTTTGTTTGAATTGAAAGAAAAGATAAGATCAGAGTTTGGAATTCCAAGCAAGTTACAGTTAATGCTTTACAAAGGAAAAATTGTGAACCAACTCAGTTCCATCCATTTTGAGCCATTTGACAACATTTATGTTTTGGTAAAGGGTAAAGGTGGAATGCAAGAATCCTCAACTGGTAAGATATCCAGAATGATTCTACCATTTATAAGGTTTTTATAAAGACTTCACAAAATTATCAAAATATATGGAATTTATTTAATCATAAAATACATGCAGCTATTACGTTTGAATTTTTATTGTCTTTTCAGATATAGCTACAGATAGTTCAGAGACAGATGTTGAGCAGTGGTTAAAGGATGAAGTAGGATTAAATGATGGTCTTTTGAATGAGTTTAGCATTCTTTCTGTTTTGGATGGGCAAACATTATTTTCTTATGACATTAGCTGCATAGACTCCTTCCTAACAGATACAGAATTACCAGTTGGACTGGCAAGGAAAATCTTAGGTTTTAGGGACAAAATATATGAAGGAATATCAAATCCTTTGCTAAATTACTCATCATTGCAAATATCGGAATTTATAAAAGGAATTTTTCCTTTAAACGAGAGTATTGATCAACTTTGTCAGTGTGCAGTTGATAGACATGTCGATGGATATGTTTTTTACAGTTACAAAGATGAGAAACAAATACAACATGACTTCCAAGATTTGAATTTAAAAGGATTGTATTTCAAAAAAATATTTTTAAAGCGCAATGAAAAATTTAAAATTGGACAGGATCCAATAAAAACACCTGAGTTCACAACTTTTTTATCTGAAAATGTGGCAACAGGAAGTTCATTTCCATTTAAACCAATTCAGGAAGAACATGGTGGTGAGGTTGTTGATTACCCAGTTCAAGAGGCATTTTCTGAAAATTCTTTTGATAATGATTATGAATATGCCTTATGCAGATTGCTTCAGTTAAATAAATTACAGAGAGATGATTGTGAACCATGCCAACTGAGTATTCTCCATGGAGGGTGGACAAACATGAATGAGTTAGAGAAAAATTTTGTCTTCTTTATCATAAGCTGTGAAGATGAGTGCAGAGAAAAACAGCAGCAATATGGGCTTTGGAAGCAAATAGGCAAGCATATGGGCCTATGGCTTGATCATCTTCCACCCAGGACAAGAGATATGTTTACAGAGAGTAGGCAGTCAGGTGTTTATTTGTATAACAGGAAAAAAAGCGTACAACTTTCAAACCAGTGTAAACTTGCATTTGTTATGGATAAGGATCTTGCTACAGTTCTCAAATTTGAAGTTGCAATACTTCTGATAAGCAAAACACTTTTGCAAATACCTTGTGTTGGAGGATATGTGACAAGTTTGTCGAGAAACCCTAAAAAACCAGAGCATTTTAAGTTTTCTTTTAATTCTTTAAAGGAATACTACATTTTTAATCCAGAAGACTATTCAGAAGGATTTTGTAAGGAAGTAATACCAGCAACATATTGTGGACAACAAACACCAGTTAACTTTAGTGAATTTGTTGACACAAGGATTAGGGAAATACCTGTAAACATTAGTAATACGGTTGAACAAGTACCAGAAATAAGTACATCTGACACAAAAGAAAATCTGGATCACCAAAAACAAAAAGCTTGTGAATCAAGCATTAAACAACTAGGAGATGGAACGAAAAAGTCATCTAAAGATATGACAGTACATGAGAGGAATATAAAGGGGAAAGAGAAGCAAATTGAGACTCAGATTCCAAGAGATTTTAAAAAAAGTTCCGACTATGTAGTATACTCTGCAGGAAAAATATTCTCCCAACCAGAAAATGACGGAACATTATCAACAAGGTGTTTAGAATTCAAATCATTTTTCAATTGTGTAAATAAGGCAAAAGAAAATAGACTGATCAAATTCCAGTTGGAGGTATTAAGATTTGCCTGTGGTTGTCTCAATGCACGAAAAAATGGAACCATTTATTTTGGGGTGGCAGATTCTGTGGCTAGCACTGACAATGAAACACATAAACACGGTGAAATTGTTGGTTTTGAAATAAGTGAAATAGATTTAGATAGCAGAACAAAATATACAGATGCGTTGCGTGATGGCATATCAAGATGTTTTTTCAGTGAAATGGTGACCATTGTTCAGAAATGTATATCCAATCCAATATTTGTGAAAGTCGTTATTCCAGGTGAAAACATTTGCCGCTATGTAATGGAGGTAGATGTAGAACCTTCATATGGTAGATGCAAAGAACACCATTTTAAAGTAAATTTGAAAAACATAAAAAATTTGTCAAATAAATCGGTGGAAAATAAACCCTTGCTTTATGTGCGGAAAGGTTCCTCAACGACACACCTTACAAATGAACGAGAAGAACTTTTTATCAAAGCAGAGTTGTTGGAAAATGTGAAGGAAAGACAACTGTGTGATAATGAAAGAAAAACTGAACTTTCACCGAAAAGGGAAGAATTAGCTACAAAATTAGAGCGTCTTCTGACAAGAGGTACATTTAGATTCGATAAACGACTCTGGCCAGTTCTTGTGCTTAGTAAACCTACGGATCAGCAGAAGTTGAATGAAAAATGGACAGAAAGCATGTCTTTTATAAAACGAATGCAGTTCACTGCTGTATTTGATTTTGACGATTTTTCCAATAAAAATGGTTTGTGTCACTTGTATAGAAACACAGAGAGGTCTTATTTACAAACAGAACGTTTGTTCCACGATAACGCTGGGAACTTTCAAGAACTGGCAAACAAACTAGGTCTGCCTTATGATGTGAAAACTGTGTGGATATTTGCTAATGGACGAAATGATTATTTTGAAGATAAACCTCATCTGAACAGGTCTGGATGGCACGTATCATACTCAGCTGGTGTTTGTGATGCTGTCTCATTTTTTAACCAAAATTTCGTGATTCCTAAAGGAAGAGCAGTAATATTAATCCTTCTTTTTTCAAGTGACTATTTTGGATTAATAGATACATTTAACGAAATAACAAGAAACTTTGGTTGGGAACCAGTTGTAATCATTGCAGAACACCAAAGAGTATTTGACGATTTTGCTGAAACTATACAACAAGAATGTAAAGGGGATAGGGAACAGTTAGAGAATGTTTCAGTAGTAGGGATGCCATGGGAACATGTGAAAAGTACTATCACTTCATTAACGGGATATGATGAAAAAATGAATTGTTTTTTGCCATCTTCATCTGGTGCTCTTGTTCATGTTGATGAGAGATTTATAGATGCTTTAGATGACTTAAGTATATTGAGCGCAAATCAATGTGAAAGCAAAGAATTCAAGAACAGTAAAGTTCGAAAACAGTTTGCTGGAGAACAAGAATTACAGTTTTACAAAGGCAAGCATGTAACATGGTGGAATTTCTTTTTCGAAAACCATGTTTGTGAAAGATATAAATTCTTGACTTTACAAGAGAGAGCTCAGTCTCTGCTCCTTTTTGCCAAAGAAGAAACACGGAAAATAGTAACACTTACTATTGCACATGAACCGGGAGCTGGAGCTACAACCCTTGGACACCAACTTTTATGGAATTTCAGACGAAAGTATAGATGTTGTGTAATTCAGAAAATATCAGAAATGACCACCTCTCATATTCTTTCACTTTGGCAATACAAGGAATGCGACGAAAATGAATCGCAACCGGGACCAGTTATTCTATTGTTGGATGACATTGTTCAAACAGAACTTTCTATAACTGAATTTACAAGGCAATTGAATATTGAATTCAGGAAAAAAACTTTGAGTGAAGGGATGGATTGTCTTTTAATAATGTGTCAAAGGGAGGAAAAAATAAGTTACGGTGAATATCAAAGTCAGAATATATTCTATCTAAAACAGGAACTTAGCAAAAGCGAGAAGACATGGTTCACAGACAAATTTGATGAGTTAGAGCGAACTGGAAAGGAATTAGAATTAGAAGAATATAAACCTCAACATTTAATATCATTCATGATCATGCGCTCAGAATTCAATCCAGAATATATCAAAACAACCATCCAGCATTTAATCTGTGACATTGACCCTACGTCAAATGAATACAAATTAATGAAATACGTGTCTTTTCTTGCATCATACTCGTCATTTACAAGACGTGGGGTAAAGGTTTTTATTCCACTCGAATGTTGTGATGAGCTAATGGGAAGCAAGCATGGATTCTGGGAAGATCGTTTATCAAGTCCTCTACGTGTTTTACTTATAATCGAGGAAAAGGAAAATGCAAGTGGACGACAAGTTCGAATAGCACACCCTAGCCTTGGAAAAGTACTCCTAAAGGAAATAATGAAACGTGAAGAAACGCAGCTGACTGACATTGCAGAAGAATATCTCAACTGCTCACTTTTACAAAGTAATTCGTATGGGAAAAAGCTCCTCGTCGATTTCACTTTAGATATGCTTAAGCGTCGGAAAAAAGAAGAATATGACGACGAGAAGACGACACAATTTAGTCCTTTGATTGAAGATATAATTAGTGGATCGGTAGATAACTATGGTAAAGCTGCAGAAATATTACAGCTGGGATTTTACAAATTCAAGGATTATATGTTACCACAGGCTTTAGCTCGACTTTATTTGAAATGGCAGAAATATGATGAGGCCATAAAATGGGCTAAAGAAGCTGTTGACTTATCATCGAAACAATCACTATCATATATTCTTCACACATACGGCCTTGCATTGCGAGAAAAATTTAAACATCTCACAAAGCAGAAATTTTTTCAACCGAAAGATGCATGTGAACACTTAGACCTGATTTTAAATTCCTTGGAGGTGTTTCTTCGTGCTCAGAGGGAACGGGACGATGAAACAGACACACAGAAATTGCTTAATCCCTTTCATGATGCCATTCACACCATTAATGAAATAACAAAATTTTTAACGATGAACATCAACTGCACTATGGATAGAAAAGATATGGTACACTATCTCAAAAATACGGAATTTATTCCCGATGAAATATCTATCGTTTGGCAAAGTTTTCATCAGCGTCTGAAACAAATGAGGGAGCAGGGTCATAATGCTTTTAAGGTTTTGGAGGACAATGTTTGTTTCAATACCACTTTTTATGCACCTGAAGAAGCTTTTAGAAACACAACTAAATTGAAGGAGCACAGATTTTATCGAAGTTTTCACTATGGACATGAAAGAATGTTGGAAAGATTTTCTCAAATTTATGGTGAATCTGATCCTCATAATCAGGTTGAAGGTGTGAATCAAGCAAGCAGGGATGCATATCACAGAGGAAGATTATGGACTCTCAAAGGAAACTCGTATATGAATATTTTCAGTCATATGAAAAATAGTGGAAACAAGCTAGGACCTAAACAAATACAGGAGAATTTAAACAAAATTAAAGAACATGTCATGGCAATTGAATCGAAGGATTCAAACGATCTTGCTAACCAAGTTTGTGTAAATGTTGCTCTTGGGATTATGGGGAGTCCAAATCGTGATTCTGAAAAGGATATTCTTAAAACTTGTCAAAAAATCATTTCTGCAGGCTCAGAAAGGGTGGATTTAGCATATTTATTCATCAGTATGCTTCTGTGGCCCTGTGATAATCCAAAGAGTTTTTACGACGATTCTCTATTGCAGAAATCACTTTCCTATTTAAAAAGGAATTATAAACAAGAAAAATACAAACCAAATGTACAAAAATTTTCTCATTTCATTAAAGAAGAACGGAATATCTCGCAACCAACACCGCAATTTTTCCTTGCAAAAGGAAAAGGATTGAGGTCTCTATGTCATCGATGGGAAATGCCCGTGTTTGTTAGAGAGAATCCCGACTCCCAGTTTGATAACTCTTTATGGGACCACTATAAAACTAAAGAAAAGCTCCGGCGTTTACATGGGACAACCACATTTAGTAGTGATGGCTCAAGTCCGTACATTGTTTTCGAAAATAAACACGGAGAACCAATAAGAATAAGTAAAATCAGAGGTACAAACAAAGGATTTGTGTCCGAGGAGAAAGTTTTGTTTTATTTAGGATTTAGTATTGCTGGACCAATCGCATATAATGTCAAGCCAGCACGATATGAAAAGCAATTGCCTGAAACATTTAGTCGAATAGAATTATTTTCATCATCAAAAATAGAAGATTACATGAAGAAAACTACAGACGAGCTTCGGAAAATACTTTTAAAAATCAAAGGATTAGAAGAGAAAAGACCAGAATACTTAAAAGAACGAGAGGTTTAAATTATTTTAAAGTGATATGGTCAATCATTTTGCTTGCAGTTGACAACTGAAAATAAGTTTATTTTGGTAAATACGTGTACGAGGACAATGCTGTTCGAAATTATATTTTCCACACATCTTCTTTCAGTACCCATTTGAAGAACAACTTTTTGAGAAAATTGAGATTTTATGAATTTTAATCAACATAAACCTGAAATTGGTATACATTATATATATATATATATATATATATATATATATATATATATATATATATATATATATATATATATATATATGAAGTTATTTCAATGAAAAAGTTAAAACTGTTATGTGACCAGATATTTTATGCTGCATGAAACAAGTTTGAATGGTTTTCGTCTTCGATACTGATTTCTGGCAATCTAAATTCATATACATGTAACTATACATTTGAAATGCTTTGACTTAACAAATGTTGGTACATTGAAAAATAATCCGCGATTCCTTACTTTCTTAACCCGCTTTTATCTTTTGGCACTGATTCAGTCAAAACTTGTATTTAGTTTACTTGATTTCAGTTTTCTTTGGGATCAGACTTTTCATATACATGTATGCATAATTATATATTTTATTTACACTTCTTAAAACACCGTAAACACGATGTTAAAAAGAAATCTTTTCGCCAGCTATTTGTACGCAAAATTACGGACCATATCACTTTCATTTATTTGCACATTTTTATTATAATAGTGTAATATAATAAACCATGTGGTGTTTCAATTAATCAGATCACTAAGTTTAGGAATCATATTCACAAGCCAAGTGGAATTTATTCGCTCATTCTCTTATAAATGGCTCTTTTATGTAACCAATATCGTACCTTTGCTTCCTGTAATGATATACATGTTGACAAATTCTATCTTTGTCTAATTTCAGAAGCAGTTAATGAAGGATAAAGACGATGTCAAAGAAGCGTTAGATCGACTTGAAATAAATAATGGAGAAACAGATCTTTCATTGTTAGCGGAGTAAGACTGTACTCCGATTAGAACAGTGTTATTACACGTATAGGAGAGAGAAGAGAGAGAAAGAAAGAGAGACTGTGTTTGTGTGTGAGTGAGTCAAACAATTGAAAATATCACATTTATGTAAAATTGTCATGCTTTTCAAATTCTTATTTTTCGAGCACTGCTTGTACATGTATAGATATATGTAACTGAATCAAGTTTCTTCTGTACTTTATCATGCCATAGCAGAAACTAGTCATTAAAAATTAACGTGGCAACTTTATTACGTGTCATCAACAAATTAGTTTAGATTTTTAGAGTGTATACATGTATGTATTTGAAAACTGTTTTGTTAGCTCACCTGAGCTGAAAGCTCAAGTGAGCTTTTCTGATCACATTTTGTCCGGCGTCCGTCTGTCTGTCCGTCTGTCTGTCTGTCTGTCTGTCTGTAAACTTTTCACATTTTCGACTTCTTCTCAACAACCACTGGGCAAATTTCAACCAAACTTGCCACAAAGTATCCTTGGGTAAAGGGGATTCAAGTTTGTTCAAATAAAGGGCCACGCCCTCTTTCAAGGGGAGATAATTAGGAATTAGTGAAAAAATAATGGCAACATTTAAAAATCTACTTCTCAAGAACCATAGGGCCAGGAAAGATGAAAGTCATGTGGAAGCATCCTCAGGTAGTGTACATTCAAATTTGTTCAAATCATGACCCCCGGGGGTAGGGCGGGGCCACAAATGGAGGATCAAAGTTTTACATAGAAATATATAGGAAAAATCTTCTTCTCAAGAACAGCAAGGTCATGATGAGTCATATTTATATGGAAGCATCTTCAGGTAGTGTAGATTTAAGTTAGTTAAAATCATGACCCCAGGGGGTAGCGCGGGGCCACAATGGAGGATCAAAGTTTTACATAGAAATATATATGAAGAATCTTTAAAAGTCTTCTTCTCAAGAACAGCAAAGCCATGATGAGTCATTTATATGGAAGCATCCTCAGGTAGTGTAGATTCAAGTTTGTACAAACCATGACCCTCGGGGGTAGGGCGGGGCCACAATGGAGGATCAAAGTTTTACATAGAAATATATAGGAAAAATCTTTACAAATCTTCTTCTCAAGAACAGCAAGGTCATGATGAGTCATATTTATATGGAAACATCTTCAGATAGTGTAGATTTAAGTTTGTTAAAATCATGACCCCAGGGGGTAGGGCGGGGCCACAATGGAGGATCAAAGTTTTACATAGAAATATATATGAAGAATCTTTAAAAATCTTCTTTTCAAGAACAGCAAGGTCATGATGAGTCATATTTATATGGAAGCATCTTCAGGTAGTGTAGATTCAAGTTTGTTAAAATCATGACCCCAAAGGGTAGGGCGGGGCCACAATGGAGGATCAAAGATTTACATAGAAATATGTAGGGAAAATCTTTAAAAATCTTCTTCTCAAGAACAGCAAAGTCATGATGAGTCATATTTATATGGAAGCATCCTCAGGTAGTGTAGATTCAAATTTGTTCAAATCATGACCCCAGGGGATAGGGCGGGGCCACAATGGAGGATCAAAGTTTTACATAGAAATATATATAAAGAATCTTTAAAAATCTTCTCAAGAACAGCAAAGTCATGATGAATCATATTTATATGGAAGCATCCTCAGATAGTGTAGATTCAAGTTTGTTCAAACCATGACCCCAGGGGGTAGGGCGGGGCCACAATGGAGGATCAAAGTTTTACATAGCAATATATAAGAAAAATCTTTAAAAATCTTCTTCTCAAGAAAAACAAAGTTATGATGAGTCATATTTATATGGAAGCATCTTCAGGTAGTGTAGATTCAAGTTTGTTAAAATCATGACCCCAGAGGGTAGGGCGGGGCCACAATGGAGGATCAAAGTTTTACATAGAAATATATAGGGAAAATCTTTAAAAATCTTCTTCTCAAGAACAGCAAAGTCATGATGAATCATATTTATATGGAAGCATCCTCAGGTAGTGTAGATTCAAATTTGTTAAAATCATGACCCCAGGGGATAGGGCGGGGCCACAATGGAGGATCACAGTTTTACATAGAAATATATATGAAGAATCTTTAAAAATCTTCTTCTCAAGAACAGCAAAGTCATGATGAGTCATATTTATATGGAAGCATCCTCTGATAGTGTAGATTCAAGTTTGTTCAAACCATGACCCCAGAGGGTAGGGCGTGGCCACAATGGAGGATCAAAGTTTTACATAGAAATATATAGGAAAAATCTTTAAAAATCTTCTTCTCAAGAAATACAAAGTTATGATGAGTCATATTTATATGGAAGCATCCTCAGGTAGTGTAGATTCAAGTTTGATCAAATCATGACCCCCGGGGGTAGCGCGGGGCCACAATGGAGGATCAAAGTTTTATATAGCAATATATATATATATATAGGGAAAATCTTTAAAAATCTTCTCAAGAACAGCAAAGCCATGATGAGTCATATTTATATGGAAGCATCCTCAGGTAGTGTAGATTCAAATTTGTTCAAATCATGACCACCGGGGGTAGGGTAGGGCCACAATGGACTATCAAAGTTGTACATAGAAATATATAGGAAAAATCTTTTTCTCAGGAACAGCAAAGCCCAGATTGTTCATATTTATATGGAAGCATCCTCAGGTAGTGTAGATTCAAATTTATTCAAATCATGACCCCCGGGGGATAGGGCGGGGCCACAATGGAGGATCAAAGTTTTACATAGAAATGTATAGGACAAATTTTAAAAATCTTCTCATCAGGAACAGCAAAGCCCTTATTGATCATATTTATATGGAAGCATCCTCAGGTAGTGTAGATTCTATTTTGTTGAAAACATGACCCTCGTGGGTAGGATGGGGCCACAATGGAGGATCAAAGTCTTAAATAGAAATATATAGGAAAATATCTTCTTCTGAAGAACTGCAAACCATGATTAGTCATTTTGATATGGAAGCATCCTCAGGTAGTGTAGATTCAATTTTGTTCAAATGATGACCCCCAGGGGTTGGATGGGGCCCATTGGGGGATCGAAAGTTTTACATAAGAACATATAGAAAAAAATATTTCTTCTCAAGAACAGGAAAGCTATGTTTAGTCATATTGATATGGAGGCATCCTCAGGTAGTGTAGATTCAAGTTCAAATGATGACCCCTGGGATAGGGAGGAGCCACAATGGAGGATCAAATTTTTACAAAGGAATATATGGGAAAGTTTTTTTTAAAATCTTCGAATTCTCAAGTACAATAAAGCCATTTGTTATATTGACATGGAAGCATCATCAGGTAATTTAAAATTCAAGCCCCCCACCCCCAACGTAATCTTTTCAATACTGAACTGATTTGTGCTTTTGCCTAGCCAATGTGCTCAGGTGAAGCGATGTGGCCCATGGGCCTCTTGTATTATCATATTACGGCACCTAAACAGTTTATCAACACAATATAAAGATGAAAACCTCAACATGTATGTACAATGTAATCATTCTCATTCTATGACTCCAAATTGACATATCACTGTCGCTTATGTGAGGAAAAGGGATAAAATTAAATGTTTTGCAATAAGTGAATTAGGGGGTATATTTTCTGTTTTTGTGATGTCTCAAACCATATTGACTGCCAAAATAAAGACGTTACACAGTTTTACACGTGTCGCAAAATAGGGTAGTGATAATGGGGGGGGGGGGGGGGAGTTTTTTTTATCGATATAGAGGCTCGTAAAATAAAAAAGTGAAAAAAATCAACATTATTCAACTCTGCCTTTCAGGAGCAAAAATAAAAACCATTCGTCAATTGAATTCAAATAAATGATTGATAAAATCTTGTCGCTATGAAAGCATTAGCAAGCGTTCCAAAAAATCCTACCATAAGAATTTAGGTAGAAACGATCATTCACAGATTAGTTTTCACTTTAATTCTACTACATGTATGTACTCAAGAGCACCGATCTATTTTTAGCTCTTCTGAGCCAAATGCTCAAAGAGCTAATGCTATGGCCATTTGTGCGGTGTGCGTAAACTTTTTATACGCCCGTGTTTAGACGGGACATATTGTGTTATGGCGTTCATGTCCGTCTGTCTGTCTGTTAGCTTTTCTCGTGTCCGGCTCATAACTTTAATACTTAGTCTATTAGGCCTAGGATTATCAAACTTTGTCAGCTGATACTCTTTGGGTAGAAGGTGTGTCGTGCACTAAAAGTAGGTCGCTCTGACCTTTCATTAAGATGCTATGGCCAAATATGGAAAAGTCCTGTCCGGCTCATAACCAGAAAACTATTGGACTTAGAAAATCATCAAACATGGCCAATTTATGCATCTTAGGTAGAAGGTGTGTCGCGACCTATTTCAAGGTCACTGTGGCCTTTAATTTAAGTGGAATTTAAAAAAAAAACTTTTTTTACTATTAGATTGCACAATCCCAAAAATGCAAGATTGTCGCAGTATCCTTATTAAAAAAATGTTAAATCAAGAAAATACTTATTTTTTTCACTATATACTTTACAGCAATCTATAACAAATGTAATGTTAAAAGAGAAATTCCACCTCTCCCAGGGGTGTAATTATCAAGCACTGGTCAAGGAGAATTTGATAACAGAAAATTGCACATCAAATTAGAGAGAAATTAATGAGTTTAGTATGAGGAGCTAACTGGTAGAGCATCTCTGATCAAGCAGGTGTTATCTATATCTCTTGGGAACTGGGCAAAAAGAATCAGCTGTGTTGGATTAAATAGATGGCTAGCCTAACTTTTAAAATGAATTTGGTGAAAAGTAAACTTATTTGATATTGTATAATAAATTAATTTGATATTGTATGATAAACTAATTTGATATTGTATAATACAATTAAAACTAATTATACTGGGGGGGGGGGGTGATATTGGAATGAAATGCAGCTTAAAACCAGTCTGACATTAAATCTAAAAAAAAAAAAAATGTATTTAAAAAAATGTTTTAATTATGGTAGATAGTCCCTACAAATCTAAGAGTAATACAGGAACCTTATTAAAATGTTGCATCAAGATTTTTTTTTCTTTTTATAAATCTTTGTAACAAATAAAAAAAAATTGTTTTCAAATTTAAATTTCAAAATGACATAGATATGCATTTTTATTGCACTACAAAGCAGATACTAGTTGAATGTATAGATCCATTCATCCGTTGGGAGTAATGAGTGGACATGCATCCAGTTAAAGATTAATTAATGAGTTCAGTGTAGGAAGGCTAGCTGTCTCAATCATTTCTTTTAGTGGATCTCTGATCAAGCAGCTCTT